TATTTTGTTTACTAAATGGTTGCTAGTTAAGGTTGAAAGTATTTGGCAACTACTATATGACACGTTTCAACTAATCTGGTTGCTCCACTAAAGTTGAAAGGTTTCAACTTCAGTTGCTAGTTGAAAGCCGGTTGAAAGCAACCGGGCAAGCATCATATGACACGTTTCAACTTCACCGAAACCACTAGTTGCTTTCAACTAGGTTGACTCGTGTCATCACACCTTTAATCTAGATTTACTTGGGCTAGTGGAAACGGGGTATAAGGTAGTAGAGAGAGCTTCTTAGTTCTTTCTGGGGAAAGAAGTGGGGTCATACATGTAGCACGTGACTGGTTTGGAAAAGCTGCCGCATTTGGCGAGAGACTGCGTTATTGGTTACAAAATCGCTAACTGGTTTTTTTTTTTCCTTCCCTTCAAATATCTACGATCATACATCAAGAAAAAAGAAATAAAAACCGTTTCCCCATATTAATTGTTAAGCATTGTATTTCGGTAATGTTGGACAAAAAAAACGTAAAACAGTTTTACCAAAAAAGGAAGACAATTTCTAATATAATTTATTCACATTTGTGATAAATACTGAAAAAATGGGATTTTCTATTTGAAATTCTATTGAAAGTTGAATAAAAAAATAAAAAGTTGCACATAGAGAAAAAACACAGATAAATTTTTTCTTTATCCGAATGAAACTTTTTACACATGAAAAACACTTCAAAATATCATACAATTATTCGCAACTCGACAATTCTTTTTTTTTTTAAAGTTTTTAAAAGGATAACATAAATAAAGTTAAAATAACATGTACAAAGAAAGATAACATAAATAAAGTAAGAATCCCAATTATTTTTATTTAATTGCTTCCAAAATATTCAATTTATGATACTTTCAATTTTAAGTATAGATAATTGAACTAAATTTTTTCATTATTCATATGACACTTTTTACGCATGAAAAACATTTCAAAATATCATATAATTATTCGCAGCTCGATAATTCTTATTATTTCTTTAGTTTTTAGAAACATAACGTAAATAAAACTAAAAAAAACATGTACAAAGAAAGATAACATAAATAAAGTAAGAATCCCAATTATTTTTATTGAATTGCTTCCAAAATATTCAATTTATGATGCTTCCAATTTTAACTATAGATAATTGAACTAACATTTTCATAATGGAGCCTCTTTGATCTTTTATTGTCTCCTGAATTTTTAAGTTATGCAGAACATTACATAAAAGGGTTGAAAGTATCTTTTAATCTTGTAAAGCCTTTGAAAAGAGTAAGTTTAGAGTTTATTGATCCTATATTTTTTTTATATGCTTGTGTTACTATCTTTCCATGGTGGTACAGCCGAATTCTTAAGTATTCATACAGTACAGATTTTATAAGACATATTCCATGATTTTCTAAAGGAATTTGATTTAAGGAATGTTTCATGTTAAAAAATATATTGGATTCAATCTGTGACATCGAATAGTTTAACAATAATTGCATTAAGTTTTTATGTTGTAGTTTTCCCTCAGAATGAGCACGGCGGAAGCTTTTTTCACCGATTCTGCAAATTCTTACGGCGTCATAACCGGGAATTATTAATCCTTTATTTCTTCTTCGCAAAAGATGCGAAGCATAACTATTCTTTGTTAATTCTAGCACACAATCTGCACATTTCAACTTTATCTTGAGGGACTTGACAACAAAACCAGCTATATAGCTAACGACGTTATCAACATATTTGCTTACGCATTTAAAATTGGTTAAATCGCAGAAATTTTCATCTTCAATTACGTCAGCATCTTCGTTCCCTTTAATATTTATAGTTTTAGTATATTTGTTTATCGCTGAACATACATTTAAAATACTAGTATCATCTAACGATTAACAATTAGAATTTTGACTTGACATGAGGACTTTGACTTGACTTCATGATGACATAGGAGTCTAATGTATGACGCTTTAAATTGTTTGGCTGTTGGACTCTTATTATTTCCGCCCTTGCTGCGAATAGCGCTAAAAACATTTCTCTTGTGAAAATTTGTAGGTCATTAAAAAATTTAAATTCTTATTATCTTCAATTAACTCATTGTACATTGATTTAACGTTATGGATATTTACCAAAAATCCTGTATTTCTGCGGCTTTTTAAAATGGTGGTTTTAAAAAGATACTTTTAATCCTTTTATGTACTCTTCTGCATAGCTTAAGAATTCAAACATAAAATTTTTGTTGCTTGGTTCGAGGGGAGCTTTAAAACCTTTACTCAACAAATTTCTGCTATTAAGAATATCAAACAATTTTTCAAAACATTTTATAAAATTTGCAGAAGCTTCGCAATCTTTAAATTGGGGTAAATTTAAGTCGTTAGAACAAAATAACGGCGCCTCTGCTACACTGTTACTTAAAGTTTGGGCTGCTAATTTTACTTTCATTTTTTCTTGCTCCCATTCTATATGTCTTTTCCTGAGTTTAGTAGCGGCTACTAAACCTTTCTCAGATTGCAATTTTTCTAAATTAACTATGTATTTCCATTTAATCATTACTCCATTTATATCAAACATTGACCTTTTAGCGATAACGGTGTTCCTAACTAATTTTAGCATATGACATGCATCTAAATAAATGTAAGTGTTTTCACCACTGACGGGGTGGGGGGAAAAGGCTTAAATTTAGAATCCTCAAAGCAGGCACCTAATTTTTTTTGCTGTTGATAAATTGGCCTTTAGGCTCGAAAGTTATTGAAACTACCTTAAATCCAGTTTTATCAATGATGCTCTCGAAATTAAATTAGCTCTTTCCTTAGAGTTTAAGCCGTCAATTAGAAAGTACCCGATGGGCACTTTCCAATTTCCATTTAAGGAGTTCACCATAAAGGTTAGAGCCCCTCTTTGGCTTGAGGTAAACTGTCACTATCAATTTTCGTTCCATAATCTATGTAACCGACAAATTTGTTTCTGTCTCGCTCAATTTGCTGTCGAATAGCAATCTTATCGATCAGCAGGGAACAAATCACCTTTTTACCACTTTCTGCAGCTTCTTTAACTTTCATTTCTAGAGCTCTAGAAGCTTCTTCGGTGAATCTGGGGCTACCATCAATTTCTTGGTACCACTTTCAAAGAGTTGTGGGGTGAGGCAAACACGAAAATTTTTATCTAACATAGACAAAAAAAATTTCTAACACGAACAAATCAGAATTAACACAAACAAATATGCGAAGTTTACACAAGAGAAAAATTCTTAAAGAGACATAAGCCTAGATAACAAAGACTTTTATGAAGACACAGATGAGACTGATTCAAAGGATTTTCCTCCAATCACAGACAAACAGGAGCTGTGGAACTTCATTGCGTGTCTTTTCGCAATGAGCATAAATAAACTTCCTCGACTGACAGACTATTGGTCTAAATATCCTCTGATGTCGAATGTATTCATTAAGTCAACTATGTCGAGAAAAAGATTTTTGCAAATTTGGAGGTGTCAGCATCTCTCCGACAGTGGAAGCAAAAGGGTCGGCGAGCCATGAAAACTATAATGGAATGCAGAAACTTAACCCTTTTATGGTAGGCATTAGAGTAAGTTTTCAAAAGTATATAAATCCATATAAAGATGTCTCAGTCGATGAAGCCCTTATAAAATATAAAGGAAGACTGGGCATTGTTCAGTATTTGCCCCTGAAGCCGGGAAAGCGTGGAATAACAGTTAGAATGCTATATAACGACTGCATTCTGCTATGTTCTGAACTTGGCGCATATTTTGTACATCTTCTTCAAAGCATTTTCTTTTAGCTTGGAGGAAATCAACCAATTGTTTTCTTTTATTATGGGTCTGTTCTTCCATCTTTTCCTTTTGCTGAGAGTCTAGAAAGTTTAAATATTTTTGTCGTGCACATTGAACAGATTGTCTCATATCTTTGGTGATGGGTACATTGAGTACATCCCCTGCTCCCATAATAGCTTCTACAATAATTCTTTGATCAATGTAAGTGTTTTTTTTTCTTCTTTTTTTTAAATTTTCAATTTCTAGAGCTTTGTTTACTCAGAATCCCCTTTCAACGGTGGCTTGGCCGTGAGATAAAATTAAAATTATTTTGACCATACCCCACTGCTTACTATACTTCTCCTTATCAACAGTAAAATATTGATATAAAAATTTATCCCACCTTTGCACTTTATGATCAAAGGTTTTGAAATCAGAAAGGGAACATTTTACAACATTATCTAAAAATTCTTTAAACTGAAGTATAATTTCATCTCCATTTCTTGAATGTATCAGATTCTTTTCTCTTAAATAAGATAAAATACTTTTAAGTGATTTTTGACATTTCATGGGCTGAAATACCATTTTATTTGGGTTAAAGCAGGAAGCATTTCTAACAACAGAGTAGGAAATAGAGCACTTTTCCATTAATAAATATTTTCAGGTTCAACACATCTTTGTCTGATGAACATTTGTGTCATCTATTTTATTGCTTGCAACACTGCCTTTGCGCTGATCAACCAAAGATGTAACTTGTTCTTTAGAAGAACATTTGTATATTCGCCCATCACTCACCTAATAAGGGTCTCTAAAATATTTTTTGCAAATGGGAATATCACGTCTTTCTTTTCGGAAGTAATATGTAAAAGAATATTCGCGATCGAAATGAATTATAGGTGGCGTCTGGCCGAATTCTTTACTTATGGCAACACCCTGCATGCTTTCACCATTAGCGTGTGGACAGTCATAGAGGTAAGATCTACGTCTGAATACATTCTATTTTTAAAATTAATTAAAAATTTAAGATTTTCGAGTCAACTATTTTTGGAAAGCTTAGAAATGTTTCTGAAATGTAGAATAGCGGAAATTATTCGATATGTGGGAGGAAATCCTAATGCACGATCAATTGTTGAAGCAGAGCGACTTGTGGATGCTGACCATTTTACACAGCCAGGTGTAAAAGAAAGAAACGGTACGCAGATAAAGCTTTTCGAACTTTGTATGCAAACTTCAGCTCTACGTAAAGATCTAATCTAATCGTTAAAAAACTTTCCTGTTCTTGTGTAGCTGGGATCAGTGGCACGTGCAAACATGCCGTTGGTCTGTTGATATATTGTTCAAGGTAAGCCTTAAATGCAATCTACATTGATTAAAAAACTAATGTTTGTTTCTTTTTTTAAAGTTTTGTATGTATATAATGCGCATTGCTGTGAAATTTTATTATTGTAGTGAGCTACCTAAAGCTTATATTTGGGATATATCCTATCGTTTTGCTAAGCGTGTGAGCTTATATATGTTTGATTTATCGTTGTACCGAAGGAATGTAAATGCATAAATGTAGCTTATTGATTAAGAAATAAAACTAAGAAAAAATATAAATATCCTGGTAAAGCCTTTACCCTTCACTTATTAAACAAAATGCCAATTTTTCATTCAATTATCATAATAAAATAAATTTCAAAGCTTTTGCATGAAGCTAGAAATTTTTACTTCTCTGAAGAGTGTTAAATTAAGTGTATGTTAAGAGTGTGTTATATCATTCAGATCATATATCATTGATTAAGTAATGCAATTTGCACATCTAATGATTCTTTTGCTTATTTTTCTTACTCTAGGGCTTGATAAGCAAAATATATGAGCTTAAATAAAAAGATATAACTATATCTAATAAAAATGTGAGCACATGTTACCGAAAGTATGCCTGCTTATTTTGGCTGTACCTAACATAATGGACAAAATAAACATGTCAGAGTTACCTTTGTAACGAGTATAAATGCATAATATAAAATCTGTATTATATTGATATTATATTAACTAGGAGGTATTGTAAAATCATCATAAATTTAAGAAGTGAGGCAAGTTGGAAATATTTTAAACTTCTTATCAATTAAAAGTTATTTTAATTGATAAGAAGTTCTATTTTTATGTTTTCTATGTTTCATTCTATATTAATGTTTTATTTCAAAAATGTGCTTTGTTTGTATTTACCATTTTGGCAGAGGGACAATTTTCATTAGCTTTACTATCATTATACTATTACGATACTATGACAGATTTTACTTGTAATTTAAAAAAAAAAAAAAAAAANTCCCCGGGGGGGGGGGGTAGTTGCGAGTTTTACCTTTCGAGTTGATCCCATTCTGTGATTTTTTTATTTTTTTTTAGTTTCTAAGTAGACAAAACTTGGCGATTATTCTGCCACAGATCAGGATATGAAATTCTCCCTATCAATAGTAAATAATGTTTTTAAACTTTATTTTTGTAGAAATGATGTGACATGTTTCGAGGAGATGTCCTCTACAGATTTGCAATGTTCTTGGAAGAGGCAGAAGCAACAAAAAAGATCACGCCTTGACCCTGTACCCATTCAGGATTATTGTCACGTTAAGAGAGTGGCAAATCGGACAGTGTTTAGCGAGGAGGATGCGGAGAACATCAGACTAAAGTATGCCTCACTTTTCCCAACTTCTATCCTGGGAAAAAGTTATTACAGAAAACGACAAGTTGGAAATGGTTATGTAACGTATGTACTTTTTTTTATTTTTGTGTGTGTTTATGTCCTCTAATTATTAATATTGCCTTCTAATATCTCATTTATCAGTGGAAATTGCATGTTTTCAAACGTAAATGTTATTGAAGACATAATAGGACACTTATGTCGCTTTTCAATTTATAAACTGTTATTATTTTTTTTTCTTTATAAAAACAGGGTTAAATACAATTTCCAAAAATGGTGTAACTTCAACATTTTTTTATTACTCTTCAATTAATGTTCAATATTCTATTGTATAGGGGAGAGGGGGGTACATTTCAACATGGGGCACCTTTCAACAACTAGAATTTCTACCTTCTAATATTGCTTAAATGTTTTGCCAATATGCCAGACAATAAGCTTTAACTATGCATAACTGTTGACATTTAGTTTTAAGCACTTTCTTTTTACCACTGTTGTGTTACTCCGTGCAACATGTTTTAACATTCCAAAAGTAAAAAGACAATTTTGATTTTAAAACTGTTTATCTACCAGTAATCTTTTAATAAAGTAAGTGATATTTATTCATTTGCTAGTTTATTTAATTCTGCTTCCAACTGTATTATTTATTAGTAAAAAGTCTTTTTCTAAGGTGGTTGATAATACTTTAACCAAAATGTTTTAGTTATTGTTCATAAAATATTCATACTATAAATTTAAAAACTTCAATTTTGACGTATTTAAAAGAATTTTTTTTTCCTCAATGAGCATGTTCTTATAACCAATTACATAATCTTGCCATTCTCGTCAGTTTGATTTATTTTTAACATCTTGTATGCAATTAAAATATAGCTTATCAGAATGGCTACTTTCCTTATGTTACAAAATAGATATTAATGTTGCATATCGTTTTCTACCCTTTAATTTTAGAAATGAACCAACCTCCTCTACTGCATTAAGCCCCTCGGAAATGCTCCTCTCCAGTATTTTTCACCGCAAAGTTATAACTGACGAAGAAGTTGCTGCACTGAAAATTGATGATGTAGCAGATAAAAGGCTATTTGAATGTTTCATTCAATTGGATTATGAAAAAGCAAAGGATCTGGCAGTTTCTGCAGTGAGACAAGAAGATAAGAGATGGAAAGAGGAAAGGGCCAGGAGAATAACCGGTTCCATATGTTATGACTTATATACCTACACTAGCAACAAAAATCCTGACTGGGAAAGGAAGTTGTTAAGCCTGTTTGCACCTTCTTTTAAAGGAAATCAAGCTACGAACTATGGTAAATATGTTACATTTTTAGGGCCACATTTTTTTTTCTTAATTAATGTGCCATCTAATCACTTGATTTATTGTTGCAGGTAAGGATCAGGACAGTGCTGCTGTTGCTGCATATGAATTGGCAGCAAAAAAAAAAAACAGTTGTAAAGATAGGGTTAATTGTGCATCCACAAGTTGCTTGGATAGGATTTAGTCCAGATGGTTTTACAATGAATGGCTCTCAATTGACGTTGTTAGAGATCAAGTGTCCTCTCCCTGGGAAAACTCTGAACCTGACTGAAATTTTGCCGAATTTGTCATATTTAAGTTTTGACAGGAGTCTAAATGTCTATGTTCTGAAGAATAAGCGCAAATATTATGGACAAGTGCAATTAGGGATGCTGATTTCAGGTTAGCCATTACACTTTTCATTCAGTTGAATATATTTGTACAATATCTTATATTAATATATAATTCATCGTATATATATAATTATCAGTTCAGTATCTTATGGTGTGTGTATATATATATATATATATATATATATATATA